GAAACTTCTCATTCTGTGATTGAATGTCTTAGCTACAGGCAAGATTGAATTGACCACAGGGGAAAAAAATGAACTTATTAAGCACTTTTTGTAGCTATAAAAAAAACTCCAGACTTGAACTATTTTTCTAGAAATTATCTTCAATTTCAAGACTCTTTCCAGGTCTGGAAAATCAAGACTTTTCCAAGAATTTATGACTCTGTGTGAGCCCTGTTCTTTTTACAGTACATGTATTCATACTTTCAGTGATTTTTAAATGTTTTAAAAGCAGAATGACCTTTAGAGAAGTACTTTACAACTTTTTTTGACTGAATTAAAGCTACTTGATGTTTCTATCACTCACTAATTATTTTCCCAAATATTGGCAAAGATCAAAGTCATCTGAAATCACTGTAAAAAAGTTGATGAACTGATGCAGCACTTTTATGTACCTCAACTTTAACAGCACAAGTTGCAGTTGCCCCATACTAATTTCTATATCATTTGAGTACTTTACCCTGATAGCATTGCAGATGAAACAGAACTTGACACTGACACCTCTACCACCTAACATGAATGAAGCATTCATCTTCTTCACCAAAAGAAGTACCAAGGTCTTGTAGTCCAGTACAACTAAGTTTGATAACAGAAATGGGAAAGCAAAAGTTAACATGCTAAACTTTCCAGGAAATTAATCTCTAATGTATCTAAAGAAAAGGGTAGTCAAATCAATTTCTGACGTAATATAGTAATAAATTCCAGGTTTTATTTCTTGCTGCTGCAGTTAAACCTTGAACATGTTTTACAATATAAAAAACTCTTAATTTACTATAGTTTGACTACTGCTTCAATCTAGTTCTAGTCAGACTACCAACTGGGTAGAAACACAATAAATTGCTATAAATAGTATCATGAACAAGAAGTTGACTTTTAAAGCAAATTCCAAGACTAACATTGATTCTTACCCAGAAATTCAACGGTGTAATGTCTACCATCAACTGTCATTCCTTTTTCCTTTAATATTTTCTTCTGGTGGTTGATGTCCTCAAAAAGAATCTTGAGGTTGTCTCTGTCAACAAACAAAAACCAAAAATCTATACAGTCATTATTATATTTAGTGCATTAAAGCCAAATTAGGGATATTGATATCAATCCACTTAGATCTCAGAGTGGATGCATGACCTGGTGATATTGCAACTGAGTGGGGCTTACAAAAATCTGTCATTGTGTTATTTAAGTTAAATGCACATACAACCACAAGCATATTCTAGCCAGAAGGTAGTAAAGAGTTCAAGCAAGTTGCAATTCACAAACCTGTCTTCTTTACAGTTGGCAATTGTCAATGTGTAGACTGATTTTGCACTTTGCTGGCTATATACAACACCATCACGGAGAACAATTCCAAACAACATATGAGCTCTACCTGCAAAACAATTTTTTACACTAAATTAGTCAAGACAAAAACTGCACCCTTCACCAACCCATTTCACCTTACACATTATTATAATGACCACCTTCCATACAAAGAACTGCTTGCAAGGCCAAAAAAATTTAACAGTTACAGTTATTTTGATTTGGAAGTACAACACACACACAAAAAAAAAATATGTGGATGATTATCATACGGCTTCCAGCATATTTCACCAGCTGAAAAAGAGCTTACCACTGGCTGAAATTGCTCTGGAAAACAGACCTAGGGTAATTTTGAAGACGCAGTTGAGTAAAACGCCCACTTAAGTAATAAAAAAAAGCCTGCTTATCTTTTCCTGTACAAGGCTTCGCTTACGAGAATAACTGAATAAAACAAAAGAAAGAGCTGCTATAAACATTGAGGCTCGCGATGGAATAGTTCTTTTTTTGTTCTTTTATTCCCTTAGCCGGGGCGCCAAGTATGAATATTAATATACCGACGTAAGACCAACGTAACTAAACATCTTACCCCCGTCCTTCTGAGCCCTGTGATGTTTATCACGGATTGCCACGTTTTCGAAGAAACTCTCGCCATCGCCTGGAAAAGGACAAGCTTCCAATCAGGAACTCTCAGGCACGCCACGTACTTCGACATTGTGTCGTCGCCAACTAGCTCTTCTACACTCCTCTTTACTCCCATTTTTACAGCCATCTCTTCGACAATTTCATTGACGATGGCCTTCGCTTCTGGGTCGCCAAATGCGCACATGTTCGAAAGCACCATCGCCAAACTTTCCCTGTTTCTTTCGCACACGTTATGCACGTCCTTGATGACGCGACTGCTTCGCTGCTTCATCAACAGAACCTTTTCTGGAGTATCCAAATCTTCCTTTTCGCTGATCTCCTTTAGATTTGGGGAAACATTCTTTTTTTCAGCTCTTTGCGAGTTTCCACTGTTTGGGGGTGTCATGGCCACAGATGATGTCTTGTTCGTTGGTGTCGTTGGCATTTCCAAGCATCGTGAAGCACGTGGTCGTTCTTTGTTTGCTTGGCCTTCATTTTCTTCGTCGATAGACATTTTACTGAGATATACTGAGTTCAGCAAATCTCTCAGCTGCGAAATGAACTCAGAGCTTTCTGAAGAGGAACGGCGAAGCAGAGTGGTTATCAACCCAAACGAGGAACAGACAATTTCCGTTGCATTAGAGGACTTCTTGTTCGAGTAATGGTGGCCATCTAGCAGCCGAATGTGGGCACTGTCGATTCTTTGAAAATCGCTTGGAAAACTGGCGACAACAGGCGACCGCTTAAAGTATTGCGTCGGCGTTGATCCACAAACTTTCGAACTCAGAATGAACTAAGTCAATTGTGGACTTAATTCAGGGCTGATGACCGGAGTGAAGGGCGAGAAACCCTTCCTAGGTGCCATCTCTACTGCTACTGAATCACGCGTTTGAAATACGAAACTGCAAAGAAAAGATAGGCGGGTAAAAACCATGACATTCGAATATCGACATAGTAACATTATCCAGCTGCTAACTCGAGAGTATTGATAATTTAAGTTAGTCGGCCCATGACATATTTAATGAGATTAAATCAAATTAACTTCGGGATTATCACACCTGAAAAAGACGAGCCCAGCGGGCTTAATACTTACAGTGCAAAGCACTTGTGTCTTCTCATGTAACTCAAGTGGGTTTCGAGTCTTTCTTTCCTCGAAAACTTTCGGCCACAAATCGTGCATTCTTGTTCGATTCTTGCCGATTATTTCTACATAGAGTGAATTCACATCATTATTTATGTCATCATCAAAACATGAATCCAAGGTATCCACCATCCAAGAGAGGAGAACCGATCAGAAGAGACAGAATAATGTTGCGCGCTTCTCTTGAGACTGCAATGGGTCAAGCCAGCGGATTCTCTTTGCTAAAAGGTCCACGTGATCATGCCCGTGATCGGAAACAAAGAAAACTCCATTTGGCGCTCATCTTTGAATGTACTTTTCATCGGTTAACCGCTCTTGCTTCAAGTTGTTTCTTTTCCCAACTGTTTTGCTTAACATAAGACTTCTAAAGATTGGTTTTATTGTGGTTTAATGGGAAAACGAGAACAGTGTGAGTGTTTTAAATGAAAAGAAAGTCGTTGGCGCTGTGAACTTAAAAGAAGGGACAATTAACAGTTGACATATCGACTGGTTCAAACAACGATCGAGTGGCCATTTAAAGCTAGGATTTTTAGAAGTTTGTGGTGAGTACAAATTGCCATATTCGTTACGTGATCAAAATCTTATCAAAGAATAGAAATAACGGCTTGAATTAAGCTTACCTAACGCTCAGCGCAACTGAAACTCAAATAATTCTGAGAATCGAATTGGTCGCTTGCACGCTGCAGTTTCCTAAGCTTACACTTTACAATGAAATCTATGAGTAAGGTTTCAAGATTACTTTAGTCACATTTGGGAACATTCTGACCTTGCTTTGCTTTGAAAAATTCGACTGAAGAGAGAGCAGACTTTCAATCAGTACCTTTGTCAAAATTTTGATAACATGAATTATTGAGGTTTTGTCTTTCTTTTATTCTTTGATACACAACAGCCAATTTTGAGTTGAGCCTTATTACACTGTAGATGGTCTGCTTAAATGATGAAGAAAAAGTAATATGCTAAGTTGTGCTGTTATTCTTTAATAATGTTCGGTTAAGAAATTTGTTAATGAAACAAGTCAAACACATGCTGGTTCATTGCAAATAAATTATGAGATCTTTATCACATATAGTCTGTGTATTCATGTACTGTTTGAATCATTTATGATCAACAGTTTGGTAAGACAATGGGATCCCATTGGAGGTGTCAGTATGTTCTATAGCTAGTTGGAAAGTTTTGGACCCTCAGTGGATTGATGGGGTCTATAGCACACCTAGAAAATTTTATCCTCTTAATTTTAAGATATCCTATCTGGTACATTTCATAAATCTGTGGTCTCCAGTGATAAACAGGATCCCTCAAAGGATTTTTCTGAAAGTGGGAAGCCATCTGTAATTTTATGCAGGGTCTAAACTTGGATTGGCAGGATCCCAGATGCAGTCCCGCCTGGGATATGATTTCCCAGGTGGGAAACTATCTGAAATTTGAGGCAGGATCCCAAGAGGGATTGGTGGGATTCTAGGTTTAATCCCACCCAGGATGTGCTTTTCCAGGTGGGATGCTATTAGGAATTTAAGGCGGGATCCCAACTTCAATTGGCGGGATCCCATGTGGGATCCCATGCAGGATGTTCCATAATTCCAGGTGGGATCCCATGTGGGATGTTCCATAATCCCAGGTGGGATCCCATGCGGGATGTTCCATAATCCCAGGTGGGATCCCATGCGGGATGTTCCATAATCCCAGGTGGGATCCCATGCGGGGTGTTCCATAATCCCAGGTGGGATCCCATGCGGGATGTTCCATAATCCCAGGTGGGATCCCATGCGGGATGTTCCATAATCCCACCCGGGATCCCACCTGAAAAAGGCGGGATCCCACCTGGGACACACCTGGGATCCCAGGTGGGATTGGCGGGATCCCACCTTATATTTTTACCTGGGTGCTAAGCAGGTCAGATTAGGATATCAGCATGTAACAAACCATTGCGTGCTACGACAAAATAAACCTGAAATGTCAGTAGAGTGAGTCGAATTACTTCCAACTGTGTAACAGCACGCGTTGTCTTCCAAAATCTGGATCAATAAAAGATTATCAATCGCCTAAAATGGATATCAACCAGCAGTTATATCATCGTTGTTGACCTTTGATCAACTATGATGATCTGACGGTCTCTGGATAGTTGAAAATACTCGTCCATTAAATAAGACAGCTTGACCCAGTATGTCACGATGTTTTTCCATGAAAACTTTTTGACATTTTGTATATATTTTGTGCCTTTCCACAAAAAGAAGATATCTAAAATTGGGAAAGAAAATCAAGCGAATTTCCCTATTTCTCTCTCAGGGAAAAACCTTGCTCGTCGTTTCTAAGAACTTTTGGTATTCATTTCCTTGGGGTAGCTCAATCTTGATGTCACGAAAGTGACGCAGATAACAACACACACCGTGAATAGCATCTCCGCTGGTATGTAAACTGTGATGCAAAGAGCTTCACTTGAAATACCTAAGGGAACTGTGTGAGCAGGTAATAATTACCGAAGAAGTTAAGATATGGTAGATGTATACGGTATATCATTCCACAGTTCACAAAAGAGGCATGACTTTAACAGATTGCAGGTTTAAACAGTTCCTTTTTTTTCAGCACTCAAAATTTGATCCGGCCATATTAGGCCTTGAATTCTTACCGAAGCAGTTTAAACTGACCTTATCCCGTGGGCAAAACTCTCTCGGTTTCCGCAATCTCAATTGACAAAAAGATGCTGTGCGAAGCAGGTCACGCTGTGATAATTAAAACATACTATTAACAACTAATCCGACCTGACATGTCACCAGAGCGAAGATGAATTACGTAGATGTGCGTAGTAACATGCACGTAAGGATAATCAGTTCCCTCAATTTGATACAAATAAGCGGTAATACCATGATTGTTAGTAAAATATTCTTTCAGTGCCCTTAATTACATATGTTTTCCCACATAAGCTAAATTTGCTGATACATCGTTTCGTGCAACATGCACGTACTGTCATTGCGTGAGCGCTTGAAATATCTTGACCTTTCCGATTCCAATGTACTGATTACGTCATTTGTAACGATTACACAAGCGAAGTCATTTGTTGAACGAGTATGGACCTTCAGCAAAATTTCTAAACAAGAATCTCTTATCAGATAAGCAGAATAAAAGCGTTTCTGAGGTATACCATGGTTGTCATAGTCGACGGAAAGTTAGAAACAAAATTCGTCGACGGACTTGATAAGAGGCCCAAATGCCCGATCTGCAAAAGCATTTCCGATGAGCCCTAGCGGACATCGCTTTTGCAGAAACTGTCTGGAACTCCTTTCTGGGTATGTATAAAGTCTATTCTTTAACTGCATAACTCTCTTCCGCCGAAAATTAGGTAGGTTGCTAAAAATGTAATACCTTTACCCTTTGAATTTATGTATTTATTGTAGTGATAAATTTTATCCAACTAGATAAGGCCTTGAGTTTTTTTGCTGAAGTAGTTTAAACATAAATATACAAGGAAACCCGCGGGAGACCTTATCCCGTAGACAAAACTCTCACGATTTCTGCAGTCTCAATTGACAAAAGATGCTTTGCGAAGTAGGCCACGTTAGGATGATTAAAACATACTATTAACAACTAATCCGACCTGACTCGTCACTAGAACGAAGTTGAATTATGTAGAGATTGCGCAGTAATATGCTCGTAATGTCATTAAAAGCCTAGATCGACTTAGTGAAGGATAGTCAATTCCCTCAATTTGATACAAATGAGCGGTAATACCATAATTGTTATTAAAATATTCTTTCAGTGCCCTTAACGATATATGTTTTCCTAAATAAGCTAAATTTGCTGATACATCGTCTGATGCATTGCGTAATCCTTTAAATATATTTACTTTTCTATTGCAACATTGACTTCATTTAGCGATTACATAAGCAAAGTCATTTGTTGAACGAGTATAGATCTTCAGCAAAATTTCTAATCAAGGATCTCTCATCAGAAAAGCAGGATAAAGGCCTTTCTGAGGTAAAACATGGTTGTCAAAGTCGACGGAAAGTTAGAAACAAAATTCGTCGACGGACTAGATGAGAGGCTCAAATGCCCGATCTGCAAAAGCATTTTCGATGAGCCCTGGCAAACGTCATGTGGACATCGCTTTTGTGGAAACTGTCTGGAACTCCTTTTGGGGTATGTATAGAGTCTATTTTTTAACTCTTTTTCGCCGAAAATTAGGTAAGTTGAGAAAAAATTAAATATCTTTACCCTTAAATTAGTGTATTTGTTGTGGTGGTAAAGGTTTCTACCGGCAATTAAGAAGTTTGACGAATAGAAGGAACCCAGCCAACCCAAACTAACATAACATATGTTGTTAAAGAAGCACAAAGCGATCCTAAGGACCTTTATAGATCTAAAATTTCCCGCTCAGCTGCGCTGAGCGCAGAGTATGGAATCATAGTTCGTGACATTTGAGAACCTCGAGTAGCTGGCGGTCACCCAGCTACAGCGTAATGTCAAAAATCTCCCTCATGGAGGCGAATGGGCCCATTTCCGTGTTGACTTAAATCCGACAACTTTGTTGGCTCAATAAGGAAATGTCAAGCTGATTTCTTTGATTATTTAAATTCCAGAAATGAGTGTTAAATATGTTTCAAATGTTTTCGAATAACCTTAAATGTACTTTATTCCAGATCAGAAAACGCAAGATGTCCGATAGACAACGAGCCACTTTCAAGGGAGCAATCTTTCAGGGATAAATGCTGTGAAAGAGAAGTTCTTGGTGTGCAGTGTTTCTGCCGATTTAATGACAAAGGATGTGAATGGAAAGGAGAGCTCAGACAACTGGAGGTATTAAGCGTACCGAACTGCCTAAGCAATGAGTGTCTCAATATAGATCTTCCTGCCTTCGACATTTTCTTTTTATGACTAGCCTGAGGTTTGGAATCTACCGATTTCAGGTGATGATATCAGAGCTTTATCCTAGTGAGATAAATCTCGCCATCGAAAGAGAAAACAACTGCCAGAAGATTCTACCAAACAAAGCAACCCAGACTAGTCACGCATGCTAATATGTTGCGAAATCGACACGATCACGGTCTCGGCTGAAGTATTACGCAAAGGTCACACGTAACTTCAAAACTAAGGAGTTGGATTTCAAGCGGTAAATCTATGATATTCATATGCAAACAGTAACGTGACCTCGCCAAAAATCTAAAGGTGTAATAGCCTGCAGGCAAGTGACTGTGAACCAGCGGGGAAAATAAAAAAAAAACCATCAGGAGGCACAGAAGTCAACAGTTCTTCAATGTTCCACACTCTTTGTTTTAACAGTTACACAATTTTAGCTGTCAGTACGGTGATGTGAAATGTCAAGCCTGTGATGAAACTGTGGAGAGAAGATACCTCAATATGCACAGGAATCGTGATTGTATCAACAGGGATGAGGCATGTACTTACTGTGGTGGTGAAGTTCGGCATAGCAAAATGAAGGTACAATTATTAACTCCGTGGAAAAGACAAAACATAAGCAAATGCAAAATCACCATATCTAATTAACTAATGGATTAGCTCTGACACGCTGCTAGACGTTTGTCGATACTGACACAAGGTCCGATACACAACTATTTACTTTGATAACAAACTGTCAGATTCGGGTCTATTTACCATTGTCATTCTCGCACTTCACTTCGGTTATTTCACTGGACAATACACCTACATCTATCAGCGTAGTGAAGCGTGACATGACTGCTGCAAAACAGTTCAATTTCGTATGGAAGTAGCTACATTAACGATCTCGTATTAAAGCTCAACTTGAACTCAACTTGTATTTTATGTCTTTTAAAGGAACATTTGAATGTCTGCCTTAAGTTTCCAATCGGCTGCATCTTAAACTGTGGTGAAGAATGTATTCCAAGAGACATGATGGAGGAACACTTGACCGCACGTTGTCTTAAGGCAGAACATATGTGTCCTTTCAGTGTTCATGGTTGTGCATTTCAGGTTAGTGGATAAATTCGTCTATTTGGTCTATCTTGTTGGAGATATTTTGCAAATGAGATACTGAAAAAAAAAAGGGGTAGGAGTTTCTAAAAGATACAGTGAGCCGAAATTTGTACTTTACAAAGGCAAAAAAGGATTTATTATTATTATTGAGTGAAAAAAAACATTGAATAGTAAAAAAGGGGAAACTATGGTCTGTTGGGAAAGGAAATAATCCTAAAATTTAAGAGCAAACAAGGGTCTACGAGCAGAAACAAACATCGAAAATGAAGATAAACATCAACATATGTGAGTTAAATTCTCAAAATCATAACCGCAAAGATACTGAGACGATTGTAATAATCTAAATTGACCGAATCTGATTATCGGATGATTTGTGGGACAAAAAATAAAAATTATTTATACACTCTCTACAGGGCACTAAACAAATAATCGATCAACACGTTGCCGACGGTATTGAGTCTCACTTGGAAATGATGAACCTCTCCAGTCATAAATGTGCCGAGATAACAAAACAAATGGAAGAGAAGATATGTCGTCTAGAAAAAGAAAAAAGTGCTTTGGAAAAGCAACTTCAAAATCAAGCAGAACAGGCAGCAGCTGCAAGACAAAACATACAAACGCAACAGACAAAATTGTCCCACGTAGAAAATTACATTCTCGAACTAAAGAGGACAGCTGAGAAACTGCTTGCTGATTTGAGAGTTTTTGAGGCATCTAGAACAATAGAGGATTTTGTCTCGTCTCAGATGGAAGAAATAATGAAAACGCTGCGAGAGCATGAGAAGGAGGTGAACAGTCTTCAGGGTGAAGTGGCCCGTTTGAAGTTATCCCCCGCCACGCCGAAAGGTGCGAGTGATTACCAAACAAACCAAGGTGTGGGTCTCGCAAGTGAGTATGAGCGCCGACTAGACAGGAATGAGCACCAACTGGCATTACACGACATTCAACTGTCCGATCAAGATATGCAGATTCAAATGCTGGAAGCTACGTCGTATAATGGTACCTACATATGGAAAATCGACCGCTACAGCCTTCGCTTCCAAGAGGCTGTTGCTGGAAAGACTCTATCTATTTACAGTCCTCCTTTCTATGTAGGTCGATTTGGGTATAAAGTTTGTGCTCGTCTTTACCCCAATGGAGACGGAATTGGAAACGGAACGCATATGTCAATATTCTTTGTTGTCATGAGGGGTGAATACGATGCTTTATTACCTTGGCCGTTTCTCCAAAAAGTCCACTTTCGACTAATAGACCAAGACAGGATCCGGGACGTGAATGATGCGTTTCGCCCTGAGCCTAACAGCTCAAGCTTTAAAAGACCCACATCAGACATGAACATAGCATCTGGCTGCCCGACTTTCATTTCTCATATGGAACTGAGACAAGGTGGCTATATCCGGAACGATACTATGTATATCAAAATAAAAGTTGATACCTGTGGTCTGCGAGGAGATGCGTGGCAATAAGATGTCTGCCTGATGTAGCATTCCATTTCTCCTAGAGAGTCTGGAGTAAGCAAAATCCCGGAAAATTATTATTTTAATTGTGAGGAGGGTGTTTCCACAATAACCAACCTATTTACGTCGTAAGTTTGATTAAGTTCTCTAAATCTTGTGCAAGGTTTGCACTTCGTGGTTTGTTGCTTTTCGACTCTTCTTAGAATTTTGTTCTCTCAACTCTCAGATACCAGGCTCACGTGACATCTATTATGTATTTTGGTAGGTTTTAGTTGACCATCACATAACTTTGCCTTTTAAAAGGTAAGGAAAGTACATTTCAGCTTCAAGTTGGAAACTTTCGGTACGTTCGACGACGAATGCAAAATGTTCAAATATAGGATATTTATTTTTAATGGTTTCTAACATATTTAGCATCTTGTAACTCTTTTACAAACCTAACTTTTAAAATAAGGATGTTTAGTTCATTGTTGAACGTGTGGTTGAAAACTTTAATTTAGTTCAATGAACGAATAAGCATAGCTCAGGCAAGTCCAAAAATAGCTAGAAAAAATAAGATATTTAAAAATGAACTCCTAAGACATAAGACAGTGTATTAAAATACAGAAACAAAATTGAAAAAAACAGAGTAAATTATTTTTACCTTGAAATATTTAAAACATTATTGATCGCGACAGAAGCCAAAATGACATATTTTCGAATGGGGAAATGAGGGATTATCCAATTTCAAACCATTTGCATCGACGAAGAAGGTCGAAATTTCAGAAAGAATAGATAATGTAGAGATATAAAAGCTTGCTCTTTTTAGGAAAAAAAATATTTTAATTAGGAGATCAAATTGGTCTCAAAAAAATAATTTTTTAACTTTGAACAACATATGTTAATGTAGCTCTGGCAGAAGCAAATATAGCATTATTTATAAATTCATATGGGATGCTGGTGATAAGTGATGAAATACAAATAAATCATTTTTGGAGAACTTTGTGTTTTCATTTTAGGCTGTTCCATTCACTTTCCCATGACATTTTTAATTAGAGCACCTCTCTGACCCGAAAGAAACACCCAATACTTACTTTCAACAAAGTTGATCCGGTTTTCCTGAAACTCACGAATTTTTCTAAGGCATTAAAAGTTGATGTAAATAGCCTGCGGACTATATGGTTTCAATCCCTCCAACGTGTATTGTGGATGTGTCGTAGTGTCTAGGCTATGTTGCCTTGAAGCGGATCCTGTGTGAACTATGCATGCAGCCCCAAGGAAGGTTTCGTAGTTCCTTTCTTCGTCCCGTACAAAATAGATTTATCTAGTTCCAGTAAGTTAACAGACTAACTAAGCTAACCTTATGTAATATCCCCCCATCACAAGACGTCAGGAGCATGCAGTCGATGTAGTTAGTAGTGTTAGTAGTAGCACTAGAAATAATGATGTGTTTATCAAGAACATTTCATCCAGTCACTCATTTATTATGCAATACTACTAACATAGTTCTCAAGTAAGCTTCTGGAATGTTCCAGGACACTTTGTGAAGACCACTTATGTAATAGTAAGTAGTAGTTATTTTTGTCGGAGCGATGACTGTTTTGAAAGCTATATCGAGAGAGAGTTATTGCGGAAGGTCGCTTATTTCAAGGAACTTTGGAGGTAGCAGTGAAATTGCATCAGTAGTAAGCTGGGTTATAGACTGTGGTGAGCTTAATTAAGTTTATTTGCGATAAGTATTGTACTGCTTGAGGAGCCCATTACTTAAAGCGTTCAGGCATAAAGGCATTTTCATAGAACGGTTTATTTTTATACTAGCGGGAAATAGGCTACTCGAGCTCACTCATGTAATACGATCCATGAAACGCGAAGGAAAACATGGCGGCCTTATGCGCCGACGTCTTCATATCAAAACTACGCCATTCCGCCTTTCTTCTGCTGTATTCCAATATTCCAGTCTTTCCTTTCCTTACCTTACATGTCCCACTATCGTTTGCAAATTTTTCATACTTGCGAAAAAAATTAGCAGGAGTGCGGATCGTCGTTGTATTTTTTTTTTTCGAATTTTCGTATGTATCAAAGGTTATTCTTCTTCTGATTCTGGCCCCTTAAAGGAAAATTTCAGATTCTCGTCTTGGATTTTTCAAATTTAAGACGATGAAGAGGCACAATCCCAACAATGATGGAGAGCGGGGAAACAAGAAATTACGTGAGCACGCTGTGTGCGAGTCGTCTTCATCTCAAGAATCTTCATCCTGACCGTACTTAACGGACATTTTGCGACGCAGGATTGAACAGAAGCAGGTGCAACAAAATGAGGGGCGTTTTTCCAGATCGTAAGAAAATGCTAATCTTTCGAATTGGGCTTCGATCTTGTCAAGTCTTGGTTATTTTTGTGTAGTGCGGTCGATAATGGAGATTGCTTTATTGCCGCATGCGGCCGAATTCACGGTGCCTATTGTCGCTCTGATCATTGAATAGCTAAGGGTCAGGTTAATCTTCACTAGAACTTTCCTCGGAACCGCTGCTTTCCGAGTTATTTTCAAAATCTGCACACCACAAGCGTCCCAAGCTCACGTCTCGAGAAAATGCAAACGATTAACTCATGAAAGCGTAACGCGTTGTGTAACTCGGTGTTGTTATTCCTGTTATACGACAGCGGTCGAAATCGAAGTGTGCAGCTTTGACCTGGTCTTCTAACAGGAATGACAGTGATGGCAAAGTAAGCTTGAATAGACAAAGAACACTGGAAACCACAAGGGACACAGAAGATGTGAGTAAGTTCTATTGATTTTACGTGTATTATGTTCATATTTCGACATATTTATCGTTGTAAATCGACGATATTTCGTTACCCACACTATTCCTTATAACGTGTTCAAATTCTCAACGGTTCCTTTCGTAAGTTCCTTGTTGCTGGTTCCCTTGAGGCGCCGGACATGGCGGCCACGTTTTCTAGCGCTCTGATATTTTTAATATATTTCTATCTTTATCATATTTACGATGATGCTATTCATTTTCCAGCGGATTCTGATGCTTTTAGTTTCTCGAATATCGGGTACACGACGCTCCTCGGAAAGGAAAACAGAGCTTCCACACCTTTATTGGTATCAAGCGGGCTGGCTCCAGCAAAAGTAATTTTGTCTCGGTCAGGATTCGGTCGGACTAGGGTTGCGTTGACGAGATGGACGAAACGTGGCGCTAGATATAACGATTTATATGGATGCAGAAAGTAAACCTGGACTAGGAGATATTATGAGGGAGAGCACAGATCAAATAGATGAACCGAATTGGCAAGTGAGCAATACGAGTAAAACAACATACTCCCGAGTTTGTTTGCTAAATATCCGTCGCCCCTCAGTTTCAATCCTTTAAGTTGCTCGGCATCTTAAGATATAGAGGATCTAGAGGAGGCTGTCGACGAAGGATTCCGGTCAGGATTTCTAACAAAAGAGATGAAACCAGTGGATTGGAACGTCGATTGCCGTCCTGTAAATAACATGGCTAAAGCAAACCTTGTCTCTATCGCTAGACAAGTGGATCTAACGACTAACAAATCCAGCTCAGAATTCGCGGTACCCAAATTTTTATTTACAAATATTTGCAGCCTTTGCCAAGACTAAGAACCGTGTTTGAGCCGCTGTGGCACTGGAGGCGGATTTGAATAACAAAGACATTGATATCTGTGTTGTTTCTGAGACCCATCTTAAGCCAGAAATGCTGGACGCTATTGTTAACACACCCGGCTACAACATATTTAGACAAGATAGGAACTGGTCGGCCTGGATAGCAGATGTAAAGGTGGAATAGCTATATTTGCAAGGAGTAACTTGGACGTAATTGATTGCTATAGATCAGAGCTCTAGGAACTTTCATGTTTGACTTTTAAATTACCCTCGGGACACTTACTATTATTGTGTGGAGTGTATCACCCGCCCCAGCCAACATACAGGCCTTCGGACTTTCTACAATACCTTGTTCATTTAGTGGACAATGCTTTAGATCAACACCTTAGATGACCATTGTCTTAGGCGGTGATACTAACCAACTGGATGTAAAGGATCTTTGTCAATTGACAGGATGGAATTCCCTGGTGGAATTTCCAACCAAGGGTGTTGCGTACTTGGATAATGTCCTTGCAAATCGACCGGACTTATTTGCTATCAATAAAAACGGATCACACGGCGGTCATTTTACCAGCGGGATCAAAACTCAAATCTGTTTGCCAAAAAATTCGCATCCGGGATTGCAGAAAAAACCGAAAGGAGGCGTTATACTTGGAACTTGCGGGAGAGACTTGGGATAGTGTCTTGGGAACCAACGATGTGGATGAGGCGAATAACTTGGAAACTCTTATTCACAGACACATGGACAAGTGCATGCCATTCAGAACAGTTCGTATCTCATCGCGTGATCCGGCTTGGGTGACACCCCTTCTCCAGTCCTTGATGAGATCTAACTCTAGGATTGGTCAAAACAGGGGGGATCGGCTTCGGGAGGGGGAGAGTAAGTGAAGTTATCAGTGAGAACAGGAGAAATCTCCTTCAAGCACCTGTAGGAGCTAGGGAGTGGTGGAAACACGTGGATAGCCTGTCACAGCGCCGGTGTTCCTCGGATAAGGTTACACCGGACATGCAATCTCTGGCTGAGCTGAATGATTATTTTTCTGAATTGTGTTGGGACAGTGCATATAAACAGCTTACACCTGCCCAAGTTGAGAGTGGAGTTCCAGTTCCTGAGATTTTAGAAAGACAGGTATGGAACTGTTGGCAGCACCTGAAGAAAACCACCACTGGACCGGATCTCATACCGTTCTGGGTGCGGAGAGACCAAGCGGAAACTTTTACACCTTTAATTTGCAAGATCTGAAACTTGTCTCCGAGGTTCAGTACCTGGCCCTCATTGTGGAAAATAGCTCACGTGACCCCCCTCCTCAAGATTGACGTTCCCAAGGGAAAGATAGACTACAGAGGAATCAACGTCACCCCTGTAATTGCACGCGCATTTGAGAAGTCCGTGTATAAAATTCACGCGCGGGACACTGTTGAGCAACATCTGAGCTCAACTCAGTTTGCCTACAGGAAAGGGGGAGCTGTACTGACGCGTATACAGCACACCGTCTATAGTTATCTAGATGACCCTGAGCGTAAAGCCGCGCGTTCGTTTGCCTTGGATTTCAGTACAGCGTTCGACAGCGTTAATCATGAACTTTTGTCTTATGAGCTTAAGGATATACCGTTAAATCCATTTATAATCAATCGGTATTTAAGCTTTCTTGAGAATCGTCAACAGTGCATTGTTAATAATAGTTTTCAAGGACAATGGAAATGTGTGAACAGGGGCACTACAAAGGGCAGTGCGCGTGGTCCGCACTTATTTAGTATTTTTATTAATGATCTGGAAATCAGCATACACAGTCACCCAGTCCTGTTTAAACACGCGGACGACTCTACTCTCATTGATCCCGTTTTGAGTAATGGCCACTGTCGTACGGATTTAGTGGATCAGTTTTTAATTTGGTCCAAGGAAAATAGTATGATTTGTAATTCGCCAAAATGTAAAGAAATTATTTTTCGCAAAAAGGTTTTATTCAGGATTTTGCGCAAGTTAATAACATTCCGCAATGCACGAAGCTATAGACTCAGATCTCACGGTTATACAAAACTTCATGGACAAATGCTTTAAAAGTAAATACACATCTAAGAGAATGGACATTCGAGAACTTTTAGAAAAGACAGATAAGAAGATTTTTAAGGTACGTTCAATGGATCCCGATTGCACGCTTAGTAACATCATTCCCAAGAAGAAAAAAACAAAGTACCAACTCAGAAACAAAAGTGCTCATCGCCCGGATATAAAGACTGACAGATTTAAGAATGTTTTTGTAAATAGGCTTATCTTTAAATATAATCTTCGATCTTTCTATTATTTAATATAGTATATCTTATACATATACATGTATATATATATATATATATATATATATATATATATATATAT